AGAAAACCCGGTGACCCTGACCTAAGTGGGTCACACAGAGGGGACACCGAGGCATATGAAGTGTGCTGGGGATATCCAAGGGGCATAAGTCCCACTCTCCAGACCTGCAAACTCGGCTGGCGGGCACTCATCCCCAAGCACTGGCGGCCTTGAGCACAGACTGTTCAGGGCCAAGCATCCCAAGGGCATAGTGGAAGCTGGGCTCAGAAAGTAGGCATGCTTCCCTATGTGTTCTGCAGTTCCTCATTTCAGCAAGGCATTCACAACAGCTACCAGATAGGGCTGTTGGTTCTGGGAAGTATGAGGCAAATTTGCAAATACTCAATAGTAAGTAACAGTGATGACTACAGGGTGACCTGTGCTGGGGTTGGGCATCTCGGCCTTTCAGCCAGGTGCTGTCCAATAGGAAGGCAGGGTTTCAGTGAAGCAGGACCAGGGGGAGGGAGTTCTAATGAGGTAGAAGAAGCTTCAAGACTTGATAGGTGTCCTCAAGTCTGGAGGACAGAGAGACACACCCCTTCGACACCTGGTAACTGGCTTTACTTATATGTGCATCCCATGACATTCTGATTGATGGGGGTCCCACTCCAGATGAGGACCTGTGGGAGGATGCTGAGAGACCTACCAGGGCAGAGCCAGGATAGCAGTCCTTTCTGGTTGGCCTTGGGTAGAACAGAATGCTTTGACTTTGAATAGGAACTAAGTTCTATAACTGAAAGACGCTGCTCTTCAGGGAAGCGACCCCTCGTCCCAGGTTCTCCACCTGACAGCATACCGTCCACGGAGAGCCTACGATTGAGTCAAGCATTGACGACAGAGAAAATCCCTCACCTGAACACCACACAGTATCACAGGCAGAAAACTGAGGCACAGAAAGGCTAAGGAACCTGGCCTAAGCACACACGCCAGCTGTGGGGCAGAGCTGGGATTGGAAACCCAGGCTTTTACCCCCTGGCTCTGACACCCATCACTTCTTTGGTGACAGGTAAAAGGTTGCACCTGCTGGGTGTGGCCACCAGACCCCATCCCTTCTTGTGAGATATGTAAGTCTCGCCATCTCCCTCAGATTCCTCCTCTATATGATGGTTGGCAGTCTTTACTGTTCTCGAGGGTATGAGAAGCCACCCTTCCCCTCTCCTAACTCTGAGCAGTGCCTGAGAATTTCGCCATCTGTCCTGGGGGCCATGGCTTCATAAGTCAGCCTCACAGGTTACTGTGCCACACTAAAGGAGAGCAGTAACCCTGCTCCACAGCACCCACACTGGCTGCCTTGACTTCTAGGGACGACCCCACCCACCTGAGATCACAACCCAGACAACAAATCTTACTGCTGAAGGCAGAGCTGTGGTTATAGTCTCCCACATTCACCTAAAACTCTCTGCCTCCCTCCACCAAGCTCAAGTTCATGAATCAATTATGACACCAGTCAGGATGGACTAGGGTTGCTGTATTTATTCTGTCCTTTTTTTATTTCTTGGCTTTTCAACAGTTTCTCTGTGTAACAGTCCTGGCTGTCCTGGAACTCACAGAGATCCGCCTGCCTCTGGCTCCTGAGTGCTAGATTAAAGGTGTGTGCCATTACTGCTCGGCCTATTTTGTCTCTGAAAAGATGGCATAATAGTCTGGCACAGGGGTGAACACATAGAATCCCAACCTCTAAGGCAATGGTTTGCAACCTGGGGGTCACGGACCCTTTGGTATATTACTATTTGTAACAGCAGAAAAATCACAGGTATGAAATAGCAATGACATAATTTTATGGTAGGAGTCAACACAAGGTGAGGAACTGTATCAAAGGGTGGCAGCATTAGGAAGGCTGAGAACTGTGCTGAACCGTGCTCTGAGGAGACGGGAGCAGGGCAATACTCTTGAGCCCAGCAGTTCTGGTTTCCCTATGTTCTGGGCAACATAGGAAAATCGTTATCTCAAAAAAAGAAAGAAAGAAAGAAAAAAAAACCAAACAAATAAGACAAGATGAGCTGGCTCAGACATCAGGAAGTTTGCTGTCAAGACTGGTCACCTGAATTTGATCCCTAGGACTTACACGGTGGAAATAGAACTGATAGAAGTTACCATCTCACTTCTGCATGTGGGCCAGTGCACATAGGCAGGCACACACACACACACACACACACACACACACAAAACGTAAAATAAATAAAATAAAACCATAAAATCATTTTTTAAAAAGGTATTCTAATGGTCAGGCGGTGGTAGTACTCACCTTTAACCCCAACAGAGGCAGGAGGGCCTCTGAGTTTAAGAATAGCCTGGTTTATACAGTGAGTTCCAGGACAGGCAGGTGTACACAGACAGACCCTATCTCAAATCCCCACCCACCCTCACAAAAAAATTGTTCTGAGGGGAATAAAGAGTTAAAATCCTCACTCTTTGGTTGAACACAGAGTTGGGAGGATAGGGCAAAGCAGTGCAGTGTGATGGGCAGTGCAGTGTGACGGGCAGTGTGCAGTGTGATGGGCAGTACACAGTGTGATGGGCAGTGCACAGTGTGATGGGCAGTGCAGTGTGACGGGCAGTGCAATGTGATGGGCAGTGCAGTGTGACGGGCACTGTACAGTGTGACGGGCAGTGCACAGTGTGATGGGCAGTGCGCAGTGTGATGGGCGGTGCGCAGTGTGATGGGCAGTGC